TGCAAGGAGTGAGGCCTCGCCTGGTAGCAAAGATCCTGTAAACTTTTCATGATTCAGCACCACGGATTGCCTCTGAGCGCCGCCCTCCAGGGAAATCTTGACAAGTTCTCTGCTCAGTTGGTTCCTCGAGCCACCATGACCCATTCTAGAAATGCTCCAGGTTTCCCTCGAAAGTCTGACTGGAAGGCTTTACGGCGGCTTCATAGTGCAGCTTCTATAGAGGAGAGCGGTGGGATGGTCGAGTGGGGGATTAGAATTTGAGAATGCATGGGGTAGGCTGGCCTTGATGTAATCTGTAACCTAGTATCCTATATCGTATTTTGACGTCAAAAATCCCTAACGTACAAGATGATTGTATCTTGTATGTTGGACTATAAATCATTGTATCTCAAACAATCACGTGTTTTATGTGTGGGTTGGTCAGTAAGGTTAGATCAGGTTAGGTTTAGGTTTTTTTATACAATTTTCTGTCTGTTTTGGCAACTCTAGAAAACGGGCTGCTTGGATAAGCGACTAGGAGGATACTTTGTGGCCTAGTGGTAGATTTTATGATGATTTGAGGCAATTCATAAGTGTATCGTGAAGGATGAGAATATAATTATTCACAGAACTAAAGTTAGTTCAGTGGCAATACATTATCGTGCTGATGATTAAGAAAAACTGGAGGAAAAACAGAGAATGAACAACACTCATATGAGCTAATGTCTAACAAACACACCAGAGTGTTTCTGAATCAACAACACTCTTGGGTAGAAATATATTCTAGAGTGATAATGAATTACTAACACAATGTTCCCAGTGAATGGAAAAATATTCAAGGGTGCCAGTGAATGTCTAACACACTAGAATACAATTTACTGAACGACACCCTACGGTGCCAATGGATAATTTACACACTAACATGTTGAAGAATAAACGGTGCCAACCCAAACCAAGCTTAGGGTAACAGAACATAGTGGTGGGGTTCCTAAGCTTGTTAATGATATACAAAATACACCTGTTGGTGGTTTGAATTGATATCCACTTAATTTTGACATTGAAAATATAATATTAGAAGAGTAATTACTGTTAACTATATAATATAATCTATGTACGTATTATTAATATTATTATTGGTATTATTAATATTATTATTTCATCCACGTCCACGCTCACGACGTGCGCGTGGATCACTAATTCCTCTGAGCTTCAGTAGTAATAAGGGTAAGTCGAAAATTCCAGTTTGGCAGCAGCAGTTGCTTCTGGAATCTTTCCTTATTAAGACTACTCATAGCCTATCAATAGAGCTTCTCTCCTAGAGTCCATGTGAATGAAATGTTTATTTCCATGATAGTGTGGATGCCAATTTAATAATAATAATAATAATATTAGTAGTAGTAGTTGTAGTAGTAGTAGCAGAAATGACAATGTCTGCTCACAGACATAATAACATAGGATAAAAACCCAGACTTGTGTATTTGTGAAATTTATTTAAGGAATTTACACCAAGTCTTTCGCACTCTCATTGAGTACTTCGTCTTACTTACATCTCTTACATCTTAAATCTCGAGACTTACATCTCAACGTCTAATCATTAGACGTTGAGATGTAAGTCTCGTACTAATAACACATTCAGATCTTGACAAAGCACTCAGGAGAGTGCGAAAGACTTGGATAGATGGATGGATGTTTGGGTTGACGGAGAAATATATGGGAGGTGAATAGATGGATAAATTGAGACATATATGGGAGGTGGATAGATGGATGGTAAGATAGAAGAGGAACAGATCATGGTTGCCAGATAGATTAACAGATGGGAGAAAGACAAACAGACCCGGGCAACGGCCGGTACTACCCCCCCCCCCAATTCATATATAAAAAACATATGAAAATAATAATCAAGCAAACTGCAGAAGGCCTATTGGCCCATACGTGGCATCTTCTAGTTATATCCACATGAAATGAATGAAAATACTTGTTTGAGAAAACGGGAAGAGAAGTTGTAAAAAATGGGGAAGGGGAGCGGGGGAAAGGGAATATGTGGTTAGGGGGAAGGTGCGGAGAATGGGGGAGATGGGACGGGTGATTGGGAAGGGGACGAAGGAGGAGCGGGAAAATGGATTAGAGGGAAAATGGGAGGGAAGAGATGGATGTGAGGAGAGGGGAAGCAGAGGGTTTAATGATGGTGTTGGGGGAGAGCCAGACTTCCCCAAGCACCGCCGGGTACCCCCTTCCAGTTATATATATACTCAATGATATTAGAATTTAAACACTACAAATAAAAGTAAATAATTATATGATTAATAATTTGGTAACTGGCAACTTAATTATACAACTCTTATGCTTATGATGATGATGATGATCTTCACCATCATCAGTGTTATAACCATCATCATTATAGCAATCATCATAATAAGAGATAATGTGTTATCTATAAGAGATAATGTGCATCTGCTTGTCATTCCAAGGTTGTAGACCAAACGCTTGGACTAGCCTCACCCATCAAGCACAGAGTTGACCCGACTTTCTAACAATGAATGTTACATGAACACTCACCAGCTCTTAACATGATTATCTGGCAATGTGTTTTTATCAGGAGAGAGCGCCATGCCTGTATAACTATACAGCAGCCCAACTGACAACATTGTGGGCCGGGTTTATGCATGGTCTTTCAGAGTATTGTGTTCAATTTCTTGCCTTTCCAAATGAGAAAGAAATACTCCAGAAAATGAGGGTTTCAGCTTCGTAGATCCAACTACAGATAAAAGACCATGCATGGTTTCAAGAACAATGTTGTTTGAAAGTTCACGAACTGAAAAAAAAAATCCGTTGCGTAATGATTAGAACAATTTTGGGCAGTGAGGCATCGAGATTCACTTTTTCCGAGAAAATAAACGCCCGCGAAACGTCTCGCAAATACCAGTCACGTTGCAACCCGTTCTCGCACTTTCGTACAGTCAATATTGACATATTTAATAAGTGCATATGTGACATACTAATTTATTTTAGTATGTCACATCATTGTGACATGCATGAAAATCCCTAATGCTGACATCACTATTACGTACATGACAAGCTCTATTTCTGACAACAATGTGACACATTGTTTCATTGATAGTCTAACACTATCACTGTGGCATGCATAACAAGCCCTCACAGAAGGTAGAGGTCATGGAAAATAGCACAGATGTGTCAATCATCCCATAGTAATGCTCAAGGCTCCAGTAATATGAGAAACTTCCTGTCTTCAAGCTGTGACTGTCTCCGGTACGACCAACATCACTGCTTTTTATAATACTCATACATCTCAACTCCCAAGGCCATGCTAACCAGCTGATCATTCTTTCTCGCTGATACCGTACATACCACATACGTGTGCACACACACACACACACACACACACACACATATATATTATATATATATATATATATATATATATATATATATATATATATATATATATATATATATATATATATATATATATATATATATATATGTCGTACCTAGTAGCCAGAACTCACTTCTCAGCCTACTATGCAAGGCCCGATTTGCCTAATAAGCCAAGTTTTCATGAAATAATTGTTTTTCGACTACCTAACCTACCTAACCTAACCTAACCTAACTTTTTCGGCTACCTAACCCAACCTAACCTATAGAGATCGGTTAGGTTAGGTTAGGTAGGGTTGGTTAGGTTCGGTCATATATCTACGTTAATTTTAACTCCAATAAAATAAAATTGACCTCATACATAATGAAATGGGTAGCTTTACCATTTCATAAGAAAAAAATTAGAGAAAATATATTAATTCAGGAAAACTTGACTTATTAGGCAAATCGGGCCTTGCATAGTAGGCTGAGAAGTGCGTTCTGGCTACTAGGTACGACATATATATATATATATATATATACATACATATATTTGGTAGCAGTCTTTCTTGTAAACATATGTTATTGAATATGACCGAAAGGGTAAGATTAATAATTCTAACACGAATCGTCTCAATATTTCCTACGTTTTTCTTCACTGTCGAGAGTAATTGAAAAATTAACTCTCCAAAATTCATTCCTTACATTTTTATTTTGGACTGACGGTAGGACCAAAATAAAAATGTAAAGAAGGAATTTTGAAGAGTTAATTTTTTAATTACTCTCGTCAGAGAAGAAAAACGTATGAAATATTGAGAAGATTCGTGTTGGAATTATTAATCTTACCCTTTCGGTCATATTCAACATTATATATATATATATATATATATATATATATATATATATATATATATATATATATATATATATGTGTGTGTGTGTGTGTGTGTGTGTGTGTGTGTGTGTGTGTGTGTGTGTGTGTGTGTGTATGTGTGTGTGTGTAAATCACGAAAAAATAAACACGTGATTAAAAATGTGACAGTGTCAGACCACTTAAGGAAATTCCTGTTTCAATTTTCCTCCGTGGTCTGACACTGTCATATATATATATATATATATATATATATATATATATATATATATATATATATATATATATATATATATATATATATATATATAAGGTATATAGGAAGGGAGTACCACCTCTAGCTGGAAGAAGGGGGACCCATAGCCTCGGAGGAAACCACGCATAACGCATTAGAGGGAATGTTTAGATCCCCTCCAATACAGTTTCCGTGTGCTTTTCTCCTACCACCCCCTTCCTTTTTTATTTTTTGTGCTTTATTATGCATTTGATGGTTACAAGATATATATATATATATATATATATATATATATATATATATATATATATATATATATATATATATATATATATATATATATATATATATATATATATAAGTTCCCCATATCCCAGTATTCTCCCAAGATATTGATTTCCAACAATGTACAACTACTGCCTTAAGGACCTTGAACACCACTGGCCATCAGGGGAAAATGTTCCGCTTAATATGGTCTCAACAGGACGTCATGACTGCTTTGTGTCCCAGTATATAAGGTAAAACAGCTTCCTCACTCCCACACAACTTCCGTCTTCAGCGCAGCGATAACACAACTGCCATGAAAGTTCTCGTAAGTACCAAATGCTTAACGATTCTCTGTCCTGTTAAGTAGCGCAATATGTAATGTATTTTTAACAACCAAGTAAACATAGTAAAAGCAAATACAGAGGATTTTGGTGAAAGTTAAAACGCAGTTATAATATATATATATATATATATATATATATATATATATATATATATATATATCCTCGGGCCTTGCATAGTAGGCCAAAAAGTGCGTTCTGGCTACTAGGTACGACATATATATATATATATATATATATATATATATATATATATATATATATATATATATATATATATATATATATATATATATTTTTTTTTTTTTTGAGATATATACAAGAGTTGTTACATTCTTGTACAGCAACTAGTACGCGTAGCGTTTCGGGCAGGTCCCTGGAATACGATCCCTGCCGCGAAGAATCGTTTTTTCATCCAAGTACACATTTTATTGTTGCGTTAAACAGAGGCTACAGTTAAGGAATTGCAACCAGTAAATCCTCCCCGGCCAGTATATATATATATATATATATATATATATATATATATATATATATATATATATATATATATATATATATATATATGACAAAACTTGACCCCAGATCAACCAGCCCGGCGGAATCCCTGGAGTACCCTCCGCTCAAAGCTTCTCACTGATGGGACTTTGCTCCCTCCCCTGGGAGCCACTGTTCACCACTGGGGAGCACCTCAGTTTACCAGCGGGGAAGAATTCCACCACCGGTCTCAGCCTTTCACCCCGTAGAGAGGTGAACTCGCGCTTTGCTCCGCGGCCAAGTAATACTTTAACTCAGTGCTATATTACTCTCTCAGTCTAGTACTCGTGACATAATGGTGTGGTGCACAGTAAACCTCTCACAACAACACATTAAAGAAATCAAAGGGAGGAAGTAAACACGCTTGTAAAATTGATGGGTTTACTCGATAATAGTCTACACTGACAGTCGGCAAAAATCTCTCGCAATCCGTTAAATGGCAACATTCCTGAAAAAATCGTCACATCTGGCAATTCTTCACTGTCGCCCAAAATCGCCCGTATGAGGCTGTTTCGTAAACACTAATATCACCTGACATAAAGACATATTATAACGCCTCTTGAATAGTTTGTAGTCTTTAAACCACTGATTAATCCACTCCGAGATGTAATCACTGGTACTTCATAATTAATATAATACTGAACATTTTTAATGTCACTTCACAAGTAATTCATGGTTATCACATAATTTATTAAGATTGAACATAAATAAACTCACTAAAGTTTATTTTCACACTTTTTTATTTTGGTCCGACGCCTAGGGATGTGTTTTGCAAGATCACTCCTTACATTCTCACAGACTAATTTACCATGCTTTTGCAAAGGTTTATATTCTTTTTTTTTTGGTGAGGTGGTACAAAACGAGAATGAGGGGAACAAGTGGATGAATGGCATAACATAATGGATATTAACAGAGTATTACATGCATCAAGATAAATAGTAGACCAATCTTTCAATCTGAAAGAACGCAGAAGAGCTACAAAGAAAACTAAAATCACAGCTTCAGGTGAAGACAAAATCACTTACAATATGCTAGCCAAGCTAGGAGAAAAGGGTGAAGAAGCCTTCTTGAATCTCATCAACAGAGTATGTGTGACAAGAACTCGACCACTCTTTTGGAATAGTGCAATTATAATTTTCCGTTCCAAAACTCAAAGAGCCAGGAAATGCAAGTCCCATCTCATTAACAATCTGTCTGGCCAAAACTGTGGAAAGAATGGCTCTTGGTCGAATTGACTGGAAAGCCAATCCACTGCACCAAAATATGTTTGCTTACAGAAAAGGTGTTGGAACCGCAGAATGACTTACCTCCCTCCTGGATCAGATGAATGACAAACCAGGAATCCTTATTTTTCTAGACCTAGAAAAAGCCTTCGAGCTAGCCAATGCTCCAGATACATTGTGCTGCCTGGTGGATAAGGAAATCAAAGGACACGTCCTTGCCTTTGCCAAAGGAAGCCTGTTTAACCGAGAAGCTAAAGTCAAATTCCTAGAAAAAACATTCTCCTCAAAGAGGCTGTAAAAATGTCTGCAGGGAGAAATAGTAAGCCCCCTTCCTCTTCAACTGTCTCATGGAACATTTCATGAAGCTCAAGTTACCAAAAGCCAAGCTGCTTAACTATGTAGAAGACTTTGTGGTCATCATCAATGGCAAAAGCGCCAGGACATTTAGGCACAAAAATGACTTGACATCATCAGCAGAGAAGCAGAACGCATAGCAATGAAAATAAACAGCAATAAAACCAAACCAATAGCCGTTAAAATGAGTACTTAAGACAACAGACTCGCAATACAAGGACACGAAATTGAGTGGGTTACCTCTTTTCAATACCTTGGAGTCATAATAGATAGCCAGTTGAAATTCACTCAAGAAATTGAATATCTTCGGCAACGTTGTAAAACCAGAAACTCAGCTCTGCGCTCCCTGACAAGTCATGTACAAAATGTACTACGTTCAAGCAATTAGGTCACTCATTGACTATGTTGCTCATACTACCCCTCAGTGATAACCAATGGGAGAAACTGGAAGTGTCTCAAAATGATGCCTTCAGAACAATGCTGGAAGCACCTATACGGAGGCGTCGAGGGAATCTATGAATGGAAACCAACTTACCAGTCTTAGAAAACAGGTTAAAATAAAGAATAGCCACCATAACGTTACGCTTAACTTGTTGGAACCACCGCCACACTGTCAATCAAAGATAGCATACACAGATCGCTTCACAGAAACCTTCAATATAGAACAAGTGCATGGACGGATAATTTGGTCAAGATTCTAGAGAAAGTGGACTTAAAACGGACCATTAAAAACACAGGAGTAGATAAACTATATCAACTCTCTAGGCAGCCTCCTCCATGGGAAGATTCAAGTCTAAAGATAATCACTGAAGAATTACCAGTTAAAAAAATCAGCATGTGACTCGCAGAGACTCAAAGCAGTCATAAAACAACAAATGGAAACCATCTCAAGACCGACAGCTACTCATATCTTCACAGATGTATCAGTTGTTCAAGAAAGAAGTTCTACTGGGGCAGCAGTTTACACTAACAACCATGAAGCTTACTGGAGCATGAATAGTAGGTGCTCAACATTGCAAACCAAATTATATACCCTGAAGGAGGCAATAAATTATGCAATTGAGAATAATTTACTTGGTCATCATTCATCCCAACTCTAAATCTTCGCTCCAGGCATTGTTATCCAGCCAGCACAGAGATAATATACAACTCATTACAGAAATCCTACATATAGGAAAAGAAGCACACAATCTAGTGCTGTCAGTCACCCTAAATTGGATACCAAGTCACATTGGCATAAATGGTAATGAAAAGGTAGACTCGCTAGCAAAAACTGTCACTGCTCTACCTGTTATACATGTTAAAATACCTTCAAGTTTTTCACAGATTAAGGAGCAAGTCAAGAAGAAAATACTCCCAACTATCAAAAGTCGCCAAAAAGCCAAAGTAACGGAAGGAAGATCCACTGCGATGTAATACGAACAAGCCACTGAATACTTTTCTTTCAAGCCTGGCAAAAAGATATCCAGGGACATTGAAATAGCCATACACAGACTCAGACTTCGTTACAAGTGCTGCTGGGAGGTAATAAACCCAATAGTTAAAGAGTGTCATATCTGTGGAATAGATGGAGAGGCGCCACTCTTGCATTACTTACCGGAATGTGAAGCAACTGAAGCCCTGCGCATCATACTCAACATTATTCCAACGGAAGCAGCTGCATTAGATGCAAATTCCACAGCGACTACAATGATTAGAAAAGCAGTTGAAGAATGAGACACACTTGTAAACACTGTGCATCTATATCCGCCACCAAGATAATATTAAAACAAAACTAAAACCAGTGCGCTAAAACAGAAGCGAACAAGAAACTTCACCTCCGTTTAGAACTCTGACCCAAATATCACAGTAATAAGGTTATCGCGAATAACCGAACTCAATTACGGGCTCACTATAGCCCGTGCTACATGAACATTTCGTTCTATCTAAATCTAAAACAACAACAACAACAGCATCAACAAACGCAGCTTAAGTTCTTGCGGATCCTGTCTCTGTGTTGGCTAAGGGTCTTGAAATAAGTAGAATGTGATTATGTGTTAAGAACACTTGTTGTTCATTGTTCATTTCATGTGTTAAGAAGTTGTTGATTGCTGGCCTTGACTTCTTGATGTTTAGCGCCTCGTTGATGTCAGTCTTCTGTTGTCGTTATACCTATCGATTATTTCAATGTTACTTGTTAAGATGTCTCTGGTGATGGTCTGGGTGTGTGTGTGGAGATTATATGCTCCTTGATGGAACCCTTTTGCTTGTGCATGTTAATCGCCAGGAGAGACGTTGTGGCCTTGCATATATACTGTGATCTTTGGAGTTGACAGTGCCCAAGTGGGCATGTGAAGGCATAGACGACGATGGTCTCTCTTAAGGCGTTCTGCTTGGTGTCTGGAGAGTTCTTCATAAGTAAGTTGGGGGGTCTTCTTGTTTTTGTAATATATTGTTAATTGTCTCTTCTGATTGATGTCTGTGGGGATAATGTTCCTATCCGTAATAACTTTCAGAACTCTTTCCTCCATTTTATAAGCCGTGGAAAAAAGTTCTTGTAAAATAATCTGATAAGGGTTACGGCTGTTGTGTTGGTTGTATCTTCATTGGTTGCATAGTGTGTCATCTTTCTTTAAATGACGTCTTCAACATAACCATTAGAGAAGCCATTATTGACTAGGATCTGCCTTACTCTACAGAGTTCCTCGTCGACCTTCTTCCAACCAGAGTAGAAAAAGAAATAATTAACTGAAGAATATATTACAATTATTATAAATTTACACAAAGTTTCGAACCTAAATGAATCATTCTCAAGTAAAGGGACAGTGCTATTCGTATTGGATTTATACCATTTAGGATTCGGATGCATAAAATAAAAAGGTGAAGAGTACATCTTAAAGGAAGAATAGAGCATAAATGGAGGAAGGATAGGAGACACAGATAGGGACTACGCATACAAAGATGCGCCTAGTCCTTCACTTTAGAATGAACCATTTAGGTCCGAAGCGTTGAGTAAATTTATAATAAGTGTAATATATACTACAATTAATTATTTATTTTTCTTCACCTCGAACAAAGATGACATTTAGAGAAATCCTCTTCCAATTAAACCAAGATGCAAGAGCACTAGTCAGAGGGATAATAAACAAGAAAATAATCAATAGAGAATATGCAGTCATATTCAATGAAACATGTATAAATTAAAACTTCCTGCCAGTATACACCAATTTAAACCCACATGAACCAGGTATAATGTTTCAAATTCACTAAATTTCAACGAATCACGAGGAACTCTTTGAAGACCTTAAACGCAAAGTGAACAAAACTAGGACCATAATGACGGAAATTAAAAGTTGTTAAATTTGGTTCAAATTTTATTGCCTAGATGTATATGGAGAGGGTTCCAACTGGTCTAAGTTTCAGCACTGCAGGCTAAATAGAAACAGAAAAAAAATATATATTTTTGTAAAAAATTTCCATGATTTCAAAAATTACCATAAAACTCAAATGCCAACTGAAAAGCTTACTATGACACTCAGCTAGCACAATACCATATAATAAAAGATGGTCTAAGCTTTTTTTTATCCAGTATAAGTTTAGTTTTACTATTAAATATTTTACAATTCCCACAAAAATTATGCAACTGAATGATGTACATAAACATTTATAAAATCAATAAATAGCCTAATGAAAAAATTAAGTTTAGGAGTTTGTAGAGCCAGAAACTCTACATATAAGGTGTACGTTTCTTGTAAATTGTTTAATAAATGAAAGAGTTCGTCTAGCTTGTAGTTGAATATTATTTACTTGAAGAAAATGAAGTCAAAGGTCTGCCACCTGTGGCTGAGGATGACGTCGACCGATTTCCTTCAAAATTGGCACATTTACAGATGTGCATGCGTTCAGTAAGGTGTATACGTTCCATGCCAAACGTCTGATAAAACAAAATAGGAAAGCGAAAATTAGAAAAATATATATATATGGCAGCATATTTATATTTACATTTATTTATTATATAATACCAAAATATAACATTAAAACATAGTAACCCATTATAATTGGTCCAAAAAGTGGGTCCTCAAGGTGGCACTGCAATGTCACTAATAGGCACCAACCCTATAGCCAGGGTCAGCTTCTTCAGGAGCCTATATCTAAAAATAATATCCGAGGCATATATATATATATATATATATATATATATATATATATATATATATATATATATGCGAACAAGCCTGAATGGTCCCCAGGACAATATGCAACTGAAAACTCACACCCCAGAAGTGACTCGAACCCATACTCCCAGGAGCAACGCAACTGGTATGTACAAGACGCCTTAATCCACTTGACCATCACGACCGGACATAATGAGGTGATAGTTATATATATATATATATATATATATATATATATATATATATATATATATATATATATATATATATATATATATATATAGAGCGCCTCAGCGCCTCAGTGTTGCAATTCAGAGGGGAAATGCCTGTTGCGTCTTGGGCACTAGTCCAACTTCAGAGGAATTCGAAGAAGTGTTTGACTTGCAACAATGATCGAACCCGTCTGTGACATTCATCAATGTTTCCCATTGTTGTGTTTTTCAAGAGATCCATAACCTTTAAGCACCTTTTTGCATTATTATTTTTGTATCAACCCATGTATATCTTGTAACCATCAAATGTATATATATATATATATATATATATATATATATATATATATATATATATATATATATATATATATATATATATATATATATATAAAATATACAACAAATTTAAAACAAGTGACTGCAGAATGGGATTTTAAGCTTTGTATATAAACTAGAAAAAAATCAAGTCAAGATTACTAATTAATTTTTTTTCATGTGAAATAATATTTACATGTGGCGCAGGATTGAATTCTTACATTTTATACAAGTTTTCTATTATTCATTTAAAAATATCAAGTCAGGGATCAGTGCCCCATACGACGCCATGACTGTTCAGAAGTCATGCATAATAAGGTTAGATATTTTGTCTTAAACGTTCCCTGATTACTGTTTAAAGAAGCCATGCACCGGCACCCCTTAATACGGGAGAACAAAGCATAATGTTAATTGTTAGTGAGGGTTTAATTTTTTGCTTATATATGTCGTCTGATTTCAGGACGAACTTTCCTTTTCTGTCACAGAAATTTATGTAACACATTTTGTACCATCAGATCATCGTCCTGCTTATGGGTCTAGCAGCAGCGAGGCCGGAGCCAGCCGCCAGACCAATCATCGGTATCGGAGGCCTTGGTAACCCAGGCATCGGATCTGGCTATGGATCTGGAATTGGAAATACCGGATACGGTTTCGGAGGCACTGGTCGCGGTCCTGGAGGATACGGTCTCGGAGGCATCGGGTCTGGTCTAGGTGCCATCGGGAACAGTCTCGGAAGCATCCTGTCTGGTTTCGGAGGCATCGGTCGTGGATATGGTTCCGGAGGCATCGGGAACAATCTTGGAGGTTTCGGGCAAGGAAATGGCGGGTACGGTCTCGGAGGCATCGGTCCTGGTCTCGGAGGCCTCGGGTCCGGTTTCGGAGGCATCGGGTCCGGTCTCGGAGGCCTCGGGTCCGGTCTCGGAGGCCTCGGGTCCGGTCTCGGAGGCCTCGGATACGGTAACAGAGGCTATGGAGGCGGACTTTTCGGCTAACAACAGTGAACCATATCCATTTAGGAACTCCTTCCGGGTGAAGACCAACACCTCTACGACGGCATAAAAATCTTGGATTCGGCAAATATTTGCCGTTAATAAAATAAATCCATCATTATTACAATTCAATTGAAATACCTATATCAATTATAAATGTAGAATAATAAATGAATAATGTTTTTTATTTTATATGATTTTAAAATATTCCTGAAAATTAATTGTATGTGAACTCACGTGTACGTATTTTTGCAGAAGACATGTGTTTGTGTGTGAGGGAGTGTGTGCATGTATATGTATTGAATTTGTAAGTGGGTACATGTGTGTATGTGTTCTTTTACTTATCTAAAAGTGACTACAGAGAAGCGAGATCAAACTCTTAATTCCCCACCTGCTAGGCTTGTCATATATGTTTGGTTGTAACTTAACTATTCGAATTCCTTTGAATTTCAATTATTTTTGTGAGTGCGTATTTACCTAGTTGTGCTTGCGGGAGTTGAGCTTCGGCTCTTTGATTCCACCTCACAACTGTCTCTCAACCGCTGTACAGATACCTGAGTCAATTTGGCTTTATCATATCTACATTAGAAACTGTGTATGGAGTCTGCCTCCACCACTTCACGTCCTAATGCATTCCACTTGTTAACTACTCTGACACTAAAAGAGTTCTTTCTAGTTTCTCTATGGCTCATTTGGGTACTTAGGTTCCACCTAGGTCCCCTTGTGCATGCTCCCCTCTTTATTAAATAAACTGTCTTTATTTACCCTATCAATTTCTCTGAGAATATTTTATGTGGTAATAATGTCTCCCCTAATTCTTTTGCCTTCCAGCGACGTGAGGTTTAGTTCCCGTAGTCTTTCCTCGTAACTCATTCTCCTCAGCTCGGGTACTTGTCTGGTAACATACCTCTGAACCTTCTCCAACTTAGTCTTGTGCTTGACGAAATACGGGCTCAATACTAGAGCAACATGCTCCAGGATTCGTCTGACATTGGTGGTTTACAAGGACTGATTGATCCCTTACACAGATTCCTAAAATCCGTTCTTATGCTGGCCAACCTGGTTATATGCCCCTGAAGACATCCTCTTGATGTGGGCTTCAGGGGACAGGTCTGGCGTGATAGCAACTCCCAGGTCTTTCTAACTCTCTGATTCTTGAAGAACTTTATCTCCCAAATGCTACCTTTTATCTGGCTTCCTGCTTCCTACACCTATCTTCGTTACTTTACATTTGCTCGGGTTAAACTCAAACAGTCACTTGTTGGACCATTCCTTCGGTTTGTCCAGGTCATCTTGAAGCTTAACGGTGGCCTCCTCTGTCTTAATCTTTCTCATAATTTTAGCATCATCAGCAAACATTGAGAGGAATGAATCTATACCCTCTTTAAGGTTATTTACGTATATCAAGTATATCAGAAACAGCTTAGGGCTGAGAACAGAACCCTGTGGGACTCCACTGGTGACTTCACATCATTGAGGTTTCAACATTCAAAGTAACTCTCGATTGATTGATTGATGATGATTAAGCCACCCAAGATGTGGCACGGGCATGAATACATCTAGAAAACCTGTTCATCTTTATTAGAAGCGTAACTCTCTGCTTCTAATTGCTTAGGTAATCCCTTATACACTGAAGCGCCCTACCAGTTACTCTTGCCTGTTTCTTCAACTTATGCCCAGCCTCTTATGGGGTACTGTGTCAAAGGCTTTCCGACAGTGTATGTGTTCACCTAGTTGTGCTTGTAGGGGTTGAGCTCTGCTCTTTCGGCCCGCCTCTCAACTGTCAGTCAATCAATTGTTACTAATTACTATTTTTTTTCGACACTCGCACACACACATGCACACACACACACACACGTCTGGGGTCTGGTAGCTGAGCGGACAGCGCGCGGTACTCGTAATTCTGTGACCCGGGTTCGATTCCCGGGCCAGGCAGAAACAAATGGGCAACGTTTCTTTCACCCCTGATGCCCCTGTTATCTAGCAGTAAATAGGTACCTGGGAGTTGGACAGCTGTTACGGAGCTGCTTCCTGTGTATGTGGGGGAGAGGGAGGGGGGGGGGACATTAGTTAGTTAGTAGTTAGTTACAGTTGATTGACAGTTGAGAGGCGGACCGAAAGAGCAGAGCTCAACCCCCGCAAGAACAACTAGGTGAATACAACTAGGTGAATACACACTCCCCCAAGGAAGCAGCCCGTAGCCGCTGTCTAACTCCCAGGTACCTATTTACTACTAGGTAACTGGGACATCAGGGTGAAGGAAACTCTGACCCTTCCTTTTCCGCCGGTGCTGGTGATCGAACCTTGGTCCCTAGGTCCACGAGTCTAGAGCGCTGTCCTCTCAGCCACCAACCCTCACCCCCTCCCCTCTGTGTGTGTATGTGTGTGTGTGTGTGTGTGTGTGTGTGTGTGTGTGTGTGTGTGTGTGTGTGTGTGTGTGTGTGTGTGTGTGTGTGTGTGTATGTGAGTTTGGGTGTGTATTCACCTAGTTGTGCTTGCGGGGGGGTTGAGCTCTGCTCTATTGGCCCGCCTCTCCACTCTATAATCAATCAACTGTTACTAACTACTAATTAATTTTTTTCACTCACACACACACCCAGGAAGCATCCCGTAACAGCTGTCTAACTACCAGGAACCTATTTACTGCTAGAAAACAGGGACATCAGGGTGAAAGAAACTCTGTCCATTTTATTTCTGATGAATCCCAGGATTCATCATGCACTCACGTTTCCACTTGAAACCTGTATATCTTTCTTCAATCACGCCGGGTTAGTTAACATTAATCAAACAGTTGGGGAACTCCGACACGATACAAAGGTGTCTGTAACAATAACAACTTTGGGTCGAGAACGATCTGGCAGCGTTTTTATGCACGTACATTGTTTAATTAATACAGACTAAGCAATAAGGGGACATTACTGGAAGCTTGATGATCCCTGACGCAGACTTGAATGAAAAAGACGGAAGAGACCTGGATGTAGACTCAAATAAGCCACACTAACTAAACAAAGGAACACAATTAAAAGGAACTACATAAGTATGTATTTCACCCCAACAATCCATGAGTCAGGTACCATGTGAGGGACAACTGTGGACCAAGGACGACGTTAACGTGTCATGTCCTGTCTGCCTCTCGTGTGTGACCACTTGAGGACATTCTTTCAGTATGTGTATATGGTGACTCACATAGGTGCACCACCGTAAGTGCACTTCAAGGAGTTGATTCTGGGATAGAAGCGTTGCAGTCTTCATGTGACTTGAATCCTCCTTTTGCAACATATTGGTTTCTTCCTAGCATTACTTTGTATTCGTGTATGTGTGCAAGCTCTCAGGATCAATATATTGTTATTAATCTTACCAAGTTTTATCTTAATGAGATCACTGCAACGATTCATGGGATTGCAACGACACCAAAAACAATATTTTCCTTGTCTTCACCATATATATAGAATACTAAACTACATGAGTGTTCTGGCTGAATGGTTACACTCACCCACACGACACCTGGATGGCACAGTATATAAAGAAATACAGCATCGTCTCACTCCGAAGTCTGTATACTGTACACCAAGAGTTTACTTTAGTCTTGTACTATGTTAAGGGCTAAAGTATACTTGCTGGTCGGACAGTAAGGAAGTGTGAGGGTCATAACAACCAACCAGGCAGCGTTTCTCAACCGGATTTCGCGGAACTTCGAGGTAAATAAAGGTTCCACGGAACCTCAGGTAAATAGGGGGTTCTACGGAACCTCAAGGCAACTAGTGGTTCCGCAAGAGATAGTGATAGACAAATCGTAATCATATGCAAATACATTTATCATTTTTTAACTTAATTTGTCTCATTTAACAATCATCAAGTGCAAAGACAGAAAATACGACCCGGAATTATTTCAAAGGTACGAAGGTTAAGAATCACTTGTCCAGACGACGATAGGCTTTAATCGAAACACAAATTAAAACTCCCACACCTGACCTCGCAACTAATGCCCCACAATTTTAGTACTATCGACCACAACGTGAACATTTCAGTGTATATGTGAAAGGATTTTCTCCGTAATACTGAACCCTTCTGGGACAAATACTAATTCTAAATTGGTAGGTTGAGTGAGTTGCCTGGGTTCGAAACCGTCTAGTTAACCAAAACCACTTCTATTATAACGCTTCACCAATGGGGGGAGGCACAGTTACCATTAAGGATCACTTAAAGACAAATGTTGACCTTCTGTCAAGTGCTGTTCAGTAACTCGGTATGAACCAGCAGTTACATATTAGTACACGTAGCAAGAGAGACATCTATATATCGAAGTCAGCCCATGTAGAGAAAGAGACATCCCTCTCTCCATCGATGTCAGAACATAAAGATAAATACTGATATCTACATCGATGTCAATACATGCAGAGAAGGAGGCATCTGTCTCTACATCGATATCAGTACACGAGAAATACGTATCTCTATATCGATGTAAGCACATGCTTAGAGAGAGGTACCAATCTCTTCATCAATGTCAAAACATGTAGATAAAAGAAGCTCACATCTTTATGTCGATGTCACTACATGCAGATAAAGAAACATACATGCGGCTAACAAAGTAGTGTGAGGCATGGACAAAAAGAGACTTCTCTCATTTTTCTTAAATAATAATTCATTTTGCTGGAAACAGGCAGCCTGTGTATGCATACATGTTAGGTGTGTATCGAGGTCCCCCAAGGTCGAATTACGTACCCTCCCCAGGATGCAACTCTTCAACAGTTGACTAACTCCCGAGTACCTATTTACTGCTAGGTGAGTAGAAGAATTAGGTGATAAGAAACGAGCCTATTTCTGGCCCGCCTGGGATTCGAACCCGAGGTTTCCGATTGTGAGTCGATAACGAAATCAACTGTATTACCGAGACCCAAGTACTTGATGAAAGAATCCCTAGGGATGTAAAGAGCATGATAAGATCTATAGAGATTTCTTGATGAAGCCTAATTGTCGAGATAAAACTGTACAACGAAGAAGCAAAACTCAGATCTATGTCAGTAATAAACTTAATATATTATTATCTTGAATAGTTAAAGAAAAAATCTGTAGTAAAAAAATCTGTAAAGAAAAAAATCACTTTGAACTTGATTATATTTATAATGTGGTGAAGCAAAAATTTTCAAGAAGATATCGTGGAACTCACTAAATCATGCACAAAT